CACACACACACACACACACACACACACACACACATAGTGCCTTGTCTTAGAACCATTGGGGGGGGGTTATGGTGGGAGGTGCTTGTGCTGTGATGTGTATTGTAACTGTCATGTCAATAAATAGCTGCGAGGAGAGCTGCTCTTTGAAGGATTTGGGCTAGAGACAGGTGATGAGACCAAGGCTTCCCTTGTTAGCAAGTTAAAGACCGGTTGAAGATGTCTCTAAACTAGCGGGGCCTGTGGAAACACAGACCCAACAAAAAAAAGGACCCTTCTTGGGGCTCTTATGCTAAACTCATCTTTCAGTTGTCATTAATATTGATAATAACATTTATAATAATAATAATAATAACAATAATAATAATAATAAATACATTTAAAAAAAAGGTTTGTACTTACATATGACTGTTACATTGACTTTGTTGTCTGTATTGTTGACTATATTGTTCATATATTTAGCTGTACAGATGTACTGGCCAGAATCTTTCGTTGTCATATTCAGCATGGAGAGAGTTGCTGATCCAGTGTCATTGTGCAGGCTCATGTTGGAACTATGTTTAGACCAGATAATCAGAGATGGGGGAAAACTTTCTACACTGCAGGTCAGATTCAGAGCTTCACCCTCCTTCACACTTGTATCCTTAGTGATTTTAATTTTCTTCACGTCTATGTGACAAAGGACACATTCCATATAACTTCCTGACTTTTCTTCAAAAGCACTATAACATTCAATAGCATTCTGAATATTTTAGATAGAAATATTTAGATTTAGAAATACTCACAGTTCACAGTCAAAGTTGAACTCCCTTCTGTAGTTGTTTTATCTGTAAAGCTGATCTTGCAGGTGATATTAGAGTTGTGGTGTTTAGCCAAAGCATTAAAGGTCAAAGTTGAGACATGACTCTGTGTGAAAGCTGTCAGATTCTCTGTCTTGTAATCAGTACTGTTCCTTGCAATGTAAGATTCAGTCCCTCCTGCTCCTCTCCATGTCCAGGTGATTTCAGGAACAGATCCAGAGCAGAGACCAGGAGCAGTGCAGGTCAAAGTGGCCTGCTGTCCCTCTGTCAGTGTGGGAATCATTACTGTGGGTTTTTGTTTAAGACCTGGTGGGAACACAGTACATTAGTGGAATCAAATGAACTTGAATTAAAAGAGGAAAAAAACTCCAGAAATTTAAGTAGATGTTTATCGGGAATTGTTGCACTTCTTATAAGCTGCATACAAGGGTCAGCAAATGTGCAAAATGTTTCACAGATACAATAAAACACAAGCATGTTGAACTACATTTCAATTTCCTACATGATTGTTTTTGATCTAGCTTTTCATACCTTTAACAGAGACATTAACTTTAGGAATAAATGTAAATGCATCTGTCTTCCTATTCACTTCACCAATAACTCTGAGGTGATATGATCCAGAATCAGACTCTTTGAGATTATTGATGATGATGCTGCAGTTGTTCTGAATGACATGCTCAATAAGTGACACTCGTCCTTCAAACTCAGGTTGAACATCAGTGCTTTTGTTGGTGTGAAATATCATGACAGGACGATCACATCCTGCTTCTGATGCTTCACATTTATACCACACTATATGTTGGGTTTCAAAGCCTTCAGCAGTCTTGAAAGAACACGGGATCACAACACAGAGTCCAGCCTCTTCTGTCAGCTTTCTCACATTAAGAGTGATGCAGTATTCTCTGTCACAGTGTGGATTTCTCATTTCTGAATCACCTGCAAATGTAAAGGAGGAGATAAAATAAACAGATTTTAGTTTTAGGCAAGCAAAGATGAATTTGTTTCTTGAGACTGCATTGGCCTTTGCTGTTTCTTTATGTTTTGTTTGCAATCTGTTTGCAAGTTTGTTTGTTTTTTACATTACATCACATCACTTTTATTGTCACATCACATGTGCAGGTACACTGGTACAGTACATGCGAGTGAAATTCTTGTGTGCGACCTTCACAAGCAGCAGAGTTGTGCAAAAATACAATGACGTAAAACAAGCAAAATATAAGAATGGCTAAATCTGAGACTAATAAACATATGTACAATATATAATAGTATATGCATTAGCATTTGCTGTGTGTGCACAACTTTTTTTTAAATGACACCACGAGTCAACAGATAAGAAGAAATATTTATAACCGGGACGTATGTCCAAAAAAACAGTGTTACATTCAAATGTTGGAAGATTATTTATTATATGCAGAATTATAAAATTGTAAAGAGGATACAAACCTGTGTCAGCATCACTGCCCGTCACAGAGAAAAGCACAGCTGACCAGATCAGAACCAACATCTTGATTTGATCCTTGGCACATTCAGTTTCTCCCTGCACAGACAAACATGCAGCATATGAAGTAAATGTCCAGAAATGTCTCTAAAGGATGTCACATGCTCACTTATTTCACAGTGCATAATGAATGCATAACAATCTTTAATCATCCATCCTTTTTTTTCATTTCCCAGCACTGAGTCAGCTCCTACTTTTATCAACAGTGAAAGACAATTGGAAACAGTGTTCATTAAGAGTTTTAAATATATTTTGAATATATTTTACACATTTTTTACCTCAGTGTATTTGCTGTTTATCAGTCTTCTCTGCACAATGATCTCTGCTGACTTTTTAATCTCAGGTTTCACTTCCTCATCTCTATTTCTTCCTCATTTTGCAACTAAATTCTTCGCAGACACTATTGATTTTTACAAACTGGCTTTCATAAATATAGCATGGTCTGTTGCACTAAATATCTTATATATGTTCATTATTATTATTTATTTTTGGTAAAAACCCGTATCTTAACTTAAGAATTTGACACACCAGCAGAAGTACTTAATTCAGTTTTTCATGAGACATTTTGCTCAGTTTTACGTCACTTCAACATAGTGCAACACATACAGCAATAAACAAGCTTTGTTAATGGCTGCATGTATTAAAATTTAAAAGTCACATTAGAAAGGATTCTTGAGGCACATTGAAGACATTAAACAGCTTAAAGGATTTAAAATAAACTCTCACAGCATTTCCATTTTTCAGCCACATACAGCCTCTCTGCAACACTTCTGCATATTTATGTCTGTGAAGGTTCTCAGTCATCCAGGTCATCGTAGTCAAAGGAGCTTGCAAAGAAAAGCGTCTGGACTTCTTTAAGTTGCTTGAAGACGTTTC